TTCCACCACGTTAAAGTGATTTACTCTGTAATCACAGTCCATGTGCGAGTGAGTCATTGTGGGCTTGGCGGACTCTGAAGGTTCTATGGAAATTATCTCTCTCTCACACACACACACACACACACACACACACACACACACACACACACACACACACTCTCTCTCTCTCTCTCTCTCTTCTGGTCAGCTGAAGTCCAAGTCTTGTTACTCAGTACTCAGTAATAAAGCAGAGACGGCTCCATTCATCAGCCATCAGCACATTTACAGGCCCAGCCATCTGTTTTCCGTTAGCAACCGAGAGGAAAACCAACACTTTTCATTGCAGGATCCGTAGCAACTACTGAAATTTATATCTGCAGGATTGAGAAACAAAAAACAGTAACTGTGTATATATATTATATATATAGGCCATGAAACAAAATGAGCCTTTAAGCTACAATACACAAGAATCAAAACTGCTTCAAAAAGGGGAAAAGTTCAGTAAATAAGAATTTTTCATATCATTATTTGAATCTATTTGGGTTTTGTACTGTTGCAATGTCAGTAATCCCAAGAGACAACAGTGAAACAATTCTCAGTTTCTTATTCTAAAAAAGTTCATTGATCACTTTGTGCTTGGCACCGTTCTTGTGTAACGTCATCAAACACCGCAGAGAACCTCTGGGACAAGTGTGCTGAGCAGGAAAAATACGCCCCCCCCCCCCCCAAAAAAAAAAATCATTACTGAATCTCCTAAAGAGAAGTCAGGCCTAAATTATTTACACCTCCTTTGTACTTTTTGAACAAGTCGTTGAAGGTGAAGCTCGTCATCCACCTCTCACGCTCTCTCTGGCTCCAATCTGCCCCCGTGTGACGGGACACATTCTGCCCTCACGCAACACAAGCTGAGCTCATCCTGGGGGGGGGGGACACGGGGGTTTCCCTCCACCCCCACCACCTGCCCCGGGGCAGCAGAACGGAGGAGACGTGCCGTCGGACTGCATGAGGGAAGCCGTGCGGCAGCAGGATGAAGTCGAGCCACTCGCGGTGTCGGGCCTCGCGTTAAATCTATTGGATGCCAAATGACGGCGTGTCCTGACAAAGAGACGGGCGCGCGAGCGAGAAAGACGACATATTGTTGACGGCAGACGTGGTGATGGACGGCGCTCTGGTGTCGTTAACGGCTTCGAGGCCGCTCCAGGCTGCCGGTGTCGTGCGCGCGTACGCTCACTGGGAATTAAACACATTGTCCATTTAATGACTTGCCCATCCTTATATGACGAGTGCTGCGAATGAGGTCCATTGCTTATTAAAAGCTGGAGGATAAAAGATGTTTCCTAACTGTAGCTGGCTTTGTATTATGGTGATGAAGTCAATTATGAATAAAGTTGGCAGAGAACGAGCATCTGCATTGAAAGAGAAATTTCTGCCCCGGAGGGTGTTTGACATTCAAACAATGATTTGCCTGGGTTTAGAAAGAACCATGCAAGCCTAATTTATCATCCTACTAAGTACTCTGACCTAACAGCAGCGTATTACAGTCATACATTTTTAGCAATTCTGCATAATTAGGCTTTCAGATGTTGAAAGAAGGTGCTGCATATTGTGCTGTAATTTTGACTGAAGCTCCAACATTCTCACAGTTTATCTGCTGCACTACAGAATATTCATGTGATCGTTTTTGTGGAGCATTTGATTTTAATTGGGAGCTTTTTGATAATGAGATCACCTCCTAAGTCTTAGAAAATGCCAGATAGCCTAAAAATGTCAAAATGTGGTGCTTTTTTTGTCCCGGTTGCAGTAAATTTAATCTCTTGGGTTTTTGACTGTCGGTCGGGCGAAGCAATTTGGAAAGGTTTAGGTTTAGAGACGTGTAGTTAACGCTTTACGTTTCAGAGCAGGTGAAGAATTGAAATGAACCCTGCAGATAAAACAGTGAGTTATTTGTTAGGATGGGCCCTAGTCTCGTTACTGTTGAAAAAAATATATACATATATATTATATATATTTAAAAAAAGAATGAACCAGTTTGACTTATATTAAGTTTAATGGCGATTCCCATATTTTAAAATAATCTTAATTTTATTTTGAAATTCCTTACTTGCGTAACTTCCCTTTTGGGATGGTGACAGATGCAATAAAAACGTGGTTATATAACGCGTCGCCTAAGAGACGCATTATGTATTATAGTTTCCCTTGAGTTAAATATATGAACTTTGGTCAGTGAAACTCAAGCTGTGACTAATATTAGACCACTTTTTATGACATCCAGCTCTGTCAGCATTACGCTCTATTTCACCGGCTTTGGGTTTCTCACCAGGACAAATGTTGGCTGAATATTAAAAAGCTTTTGTTGATCTCATTGTGAGCGTTGCTCAGCGAGGTATTTCTTTGTATCGTAACTCAGGACAGTACAAAATACACAAGTTAAGAATTAGAAAGTTAAAATACAAGTCAGAATACAACTTTACATCCACACGGGAAATGTACAGTAGGTGATGGGATAATCCAGAAAAGTTAACTAAAAAAGGGAAATAGTGGGATGATTATGAGCGACAATTAACACACGAGTCGTATTCAATAGAAAGGAAATGGTAGGAGCTTCAAGATAACAGCACTTCCTGCCGTGTTCCCGGATAGTCCGCATCGACATTTAAGCACAATGTCTGTATTTAATTCTGTGCCCGGACACGTTCCACCACGGCAACCACTGCAGTTGTATAAAGAAAATAAAAAAAACATTAAAAGAATTGTGCAAACGGTCTGGAAGCACAAATAAAAGTGTCTGCGAGCTCCGTCTGCCTGCCGCCACACCCTGAAGCTGTGTGTGCCTGCAGGTGTGGCAGACGCGGCAAATCCCTGCGCTTATGCACCTTTACGCCCCATCAAGTCCCATCAGGCAGATTGTGACCAAGAGGAGCTGTTCAAGGTTTAGAGTCAATGAAGGAGGAGAGTTTTACTTCTGAACAGCGTGTGAAGCAGGAATAACAAAACAAAAAAAACACACACTGAGCAAAAGATACTAAATTAGTGGATTACTTACAAATCATCTAATTAAAGGCTAATGCTTCCCAGCTCGAGGTTAGACTCCCCGCTTCAGTCTACAGGAGAGTTCGCCGTGAGGGTTTTCTGACCCGCCTCACAGCTTCAGGATTCGTTTTGCAACACCACACTCCACCCACACCAAGGGACGTGCTTCTCTCTGCTCCCGCTCTGAATCATGCAGCAGCCGAGCAGCGCTGCAGGGGGAAAGCTTGGCACCGTGGCTCAGCAGCTTGTTTGTAGCATGTGTTCCCAGTAGTAGTTATGCACACAGAGACTCCCCTGAAGAGACGCACCGTCATGCCTCCGGGCTAAACGGGTCAGCCGAGCTCCCCGGCGGCCCCACCTGTTGCAGGGAGTCCTGCCTTAACAAGGAGGGCGTGTGGGGGAGGGGGTGGTAACAAAGTCATCGCATTGCGCGGCACCTGAGGCTCGGAGCGCCCGGCACGGCGTGTATTTATAACACGGACTTCCCGTTACGGGGAGTCAGCAGCCGGCCCATTCTGCAGCCCGTGAAAAACCTCTGAGTCACCACCCCGTCACATGTCAGAGCGCCATGGCAACCGGACACCAAACACAGCGGGTAAAGTATAACAGATAAAGCCCGTCCCGGCTGGATAAGGAGGGAGGGGGGGGGGGGGGGGCATTCTTTTCCACCGCCCATGCGTCAAGAGAGCGGCTTTCTTTAGAAGACAACATTGCTGGAGGAGCCAGTTCTCTTTTCCTGCCAAGTAGCTGGAGAGACAAGAAGCACAAAAGGCATGCGAGAAGGGAGGGGGGGGGGGGGGGGAGGTATTGTGGAAGGGACTGGAAAAGTCAAGAATTCTTCAGAATTCGCATTGTGCGCCGCGGGGGCACACACACACACACACACACACACACACACACACCAGAATTTTTACATCCGTATTCATTTTTCCACACAGAACCGAGCCAAACCGTTCTGCTCGCTGCGATTTCAATCTCATTGAATAAAAATGTGAACTTTGTGACACAATGGCGCTTATTGGGGGGGAGGGGGATCCTGGCCATGGATTTCCCCCTTACACACACGCACACACACACACACACCGGTTTCAACACTGAAAATATTTGGTTTGTTTCCCATAAAATAAATTTGCTGAATATTTCCACGTGAATAAACGTACTTTCCATTCAGAACATTTTCTCAGACCCCTCCGACCCAGTTTGCTATGACGTCGACACAGTGCAGTGGTCCGATCTGCAGACCCCCACTCCTCAGGTGAGAGCTGAGCGCTAAAACTACCGTGAGTCAAAGACAAGCGAATGAGAGAAGTTAATCATTCCCTGCCCTCAACACACAGCTTCGGTGCATCGAAGATGAATTATTAACTTGTACTTGGTTCATGTCTTAGCTGTAGCGTCTTTTCTGAGTTTCCTTTGTGAGTTACTACAATCAAGTAGTATTCTTGATTTCGGGCCAAACCCCCTTTAATGACCCAACTCCATTAAAAGTGCCACAGGTGTGAATTGTAAGGCGTGCATTGTTATCAAAACGCGGAAATGAAAGCGGCCCGTTGGCAGGGCGGCCTGAACAGAAAGGTACGGCCCGTCTTGGCTCAAGGCGCGTCACTTCAAACGCCCCCGGAGGTCGACTGACGAGTCAAACAGACATAACCACCAGGAATGCGGTCTGCGCTGCCGACGGTTACTGTGGCTCAACATTCTACGCATTCCCGACTCCCTTGTACAGAGAAACAGGTGTGAACAAGAGGCAATAAATTAAAACCCTTCCGTTCCACATGACTGCAGCGCCGCGTCAACCGCTACGATGGATCTAGGCGCCGAAGCTCTGGAACAGAGCATTTTAACACGAACGTTGTTTGTTCCTATAAAAAAAAAGTGCAGTGTGTACTTTCTGCATATAACAAACATGACGAACTTGTTTAACGCTTTTTTGCCACAACCACTTGGTTGTACTAGAACAAAGCCACGCTCTCTGCAGCTCCTCCCCCTACCTGGCTTTCAGCTCCTTGTGCTCCTCCTTCAGCTTGCTGAGCTCCAGCTGCATGCGCGCCCGCTCCTTGGCCACCTGGTCCAGCGTCTTGCGGGCGTCGGCCAGCTCCGCCTCGTAGGCCGCCTTCACGCCCGACACGTCGCGGGTGGTCGAGGACTCCCACTCGGTGATGCGCAGCCGCAGCCCGGCGTTCTCCGACTCCAGGGAGCGCACCTTGTCGATGTAGACCGCCAGCCGGTCGTTGAGGTTGCACAGGTCCTCCTTCTCCTGCAGCCTGGTGATGCGGGTCGGCGAGGCGGTGGCGCCGCGCCCGGTGCGTTTCTGGCTCGGGGTTTCCATGGTAATGATGGCTCAGCAAGAAGTGTAGAGCGGGGGTGGGAGTGGGGAGAGCGGGGGGTCTCAAGCACTAGCTGTGGGGGAAGAGGGAAGAAGAGGGAATGAAAACTAAACTTTGGGATTACTATAAGCAAACATTTCCCTCCTTCTCTGCTTCCCATAAACTTTTGGGGTAAAAATGGAGGCAAACCACATGTTCGCCATCTTGCCAAAGACTATTGGAATACCGAAGCGTTGACTCATATCAACAAATGCTGCTCGAGGCCCCGATAAGGACTTTATACGCTTTTGACGAGCGCTAGCAGGAGAATGAATGAAAGAGGGTCGTAGTGTATTTGACAATGAGAGAAACGAGAAAACTTTTTTGTAACGGACTCATCAAACATGCCGAATGTAAGCCAACATTTCCAGACGTAATTCCCCGATAAGAAGTCCCCAAATTTAACAGTTATTGGCGCCTGTATGTCTTTTTTATTACAGCTATTATGGACCAGGCCTTCAACAACTTTGAAAAATGAATCAATACGGACATCAGCTGCTCCTGTGGATACACGGGGGAGATTTCCAAGCTGCATATTTTGTCTCATCAGCCAACTGCTCTCATCCACCGATCAGCGGGGACGCCGACTACAATTTGGTCCAGCGGTGGGTGGACTTTTGCGTTCCATCCCTCCACCGCCAAAAGTGCACTTCAGGACGCCCACGCCCACGTGAATGGACGCGATGCGTGCACACGCCCACAGGAGAGGACACACTCACACAAGTGCTCTCTGGCCCGATTCTGAATAAATGCAGCATCCACTCACGCTCCCAGAATGTGGCGAGCGTTAACAGGTGCGGTCTGACGTTCCCAGGCCGTGAAAACGAGCTGAAACTTTGAAAGTCACTCCCTGACTAAATGAAACCAGCCCGGAGCCGCCTAAAGTTAAACAAGTAACAGTACTGGAACCACGGCAGCGAATGAAGTCCTCCAGTTAAACAAACACAGTCTCACGGGGGGGGAGACAGAAATCTGAAGCTTACCCGGTCTGTGTGGGGGAACCGCTCGACTTCAGCCTGCTGAGGGAACTTAAAGAGGAGTACGAGACCTGGCTAGAAGTTTGTGTGTGGTAACATACCCCAGAGGAGAGAGGAGAGAGGAGAGGCTCCGGTGAATAACGCAGCCGTGCTCGTCGCTGGTGGGTGTGTGTTCCTTTGGCTCGTGCCCTGAACTGCTCTCAGAGCTGCCGCTCAGCGCAGGCGTACCTACTGCTGAAGAGGGAGGAAAGGGGCGGGAGTGCATGAGAGGGAAGGGTGGGGCTGTGAGGAGGAGTCAGACAGTCTGCATGTGTGTACACAATCTCCCCCCACTCCCCCCCCTACCTCCCTCCCTTCCTTCTCATTCCTCTCAGACCAGACCGATCTCGGCCACTGGTGCGTCTGTCAATAAAGCGCAGCGAGACGGCGAGCGGCTCCCGGGTGGGTGGAAGCGTGTGGATGCGCGGCTCCCAGCCTGCTCCTCCCGGCTGCTGTGAAGAACGCATTCTTTGCCCGTACATCTGGCTTGAAAAACCATAATAAAAAAAAAGAGCCTTGACATCCGACTCCAAAGTCGGATGAGCGGCAGAAGGAAAAGTGACGACCTCGGCGCAGACAAACAGAGCATCAAAACACATCCAAAGTATCCTCGTAGCGCCGTTATCCACGGGGAAGAAAGAGAACCTGTCCACGAGCTCGTTCCCTGAATCCAAAAAGGGGAAAAAAGTCCATAAGTCTGGGGCGTTGTAGAATAAAATGGCCACACTTCACCTTGAAAGTCTATAAAGATCTGACACTCCAAAACCAACTTGATTCTGGTCTTATATCGTTCCCCTCTGGGTGGAGTTAATGGAGTCACGGGTCCAATCAAGTTCTGATGCAGGAGGAAAGACGTGCTGTGTGTGTGTGTGTGTGTGTGTGTGTGTGCGCATCTCCTCACCATGGAAATGGAGGTTAGTCTATTCATTTGTGTGCGTGTCCGTCCGTGCGGTTTACCAGGGGGCAAAGACGGCCTCTGTTTTTGGGCGTGGGGACGGCCCCGGTGGCTAAGGGAGTATCCCGGCGCCGCTGTGGCCTTCCAGTGGAAAGGAGCGGTCAGCCTGTGAAGCTGCCTCTGAGTCACACGCTTTATACAAACAGCTCACTTGTTCACTTCCTCCTCTCCTCTCCTTCTTCTCCGTCTCTTGCAGTCTTTGTTTTCATGGAAGTGACATCACATTTGCGTTCAGGTAAGCGCGCTAGATCTCTGAAGCAGAAAGGTAATAATAGACTCCCAGATTTGAAAGCATTTCTGACGGTGGGTGATAATTAACAAACATGCGACGCAATCAAGATTACCGCCAAAGCAAATAACGAGGGAAATCAATATAAAAAAGGCAAATCGGTGATCAATTTACTACAAAAAAAATTGTTTTAAAAAGTTGCCCTTAAAAAATAATTTTATATAAAAATATTTTATGATTAGATTCATAATTTAAATCCAAGGAAGAAAGTTTTTTTTTTTTTTTTTTTACTTTATTGGCCAAAAATCCCTAATATAGTAATGTGCTGTAGTGGAAGACTGAACCTCTTCAAGTCCTCTTGGCTCTTGAGAAAACCGACTTGAGTCATTTGCGTTCCTTTTGGCTCGTCTCCAAACACAAATGCCCGTGCTCGGCCCTTTGGGGAAGGTTGTTGATATTCTGGCCTACACAACGAAGAACGATCACAAGGAGATTCTGACGGTGAAAGAAAAGAAACGTGTCTGAAGCGCCGTAGAGTTGGAGACAACGTGTTCCTAATAGTGAGCAAAAGGCTCACTATTAGGAACACGTTGCTCACGGTCACAACAAATTCAGGTCCACTGACTGGCTGCTCCTGGCTGACGGAGGGATTCAGCGGGGGGATCTTTGCAGGGAAAGGGAGGCGCACGTTGGCTGTGTTGCTGCTATAATGCCGTTCCCCCTCCCTCCCCCCCCTTTCCATCCTTTAGAGAAGTTTATCTTGTGCATTGATCGGTTTTCCGATGTCGTTGCCACACAAAGACGACACATTTGTGCAACCGTCCATTTTTCGTTTGACAAACCGCCGCAGTCAGTTACTCAGAAGCACGTCTACTCTCCTCGAGCGTTCTTTGTGCCTCAGAGGCCGCAGTAACCGTAAAGCATCTCGGCTGCTCAGGTGGCCATTGCTCACTATAATAGTAAGAGTCAGATACGTTACTGCATCTCAGTCCAATGAGCACACAAGCCTGTTTTTCAGGCTTCTGCTTGTTTGCTTTTCAAACTAAAGCTCAATGTTGGTTTGATATTCTGTCCACGTCTCGTACAACGTAGAAGCGTGCTTGCTTTGCTTACCATGCAAATTACTGTCAACGTGATGATGGCGGCCCTTCACTGTGATGCAAATCCATTTGAACACCTTCCAGAACGTGAAGTAAATATGGCCGAGACGCACTGCACAGTGTGGTATCTTTGATGAGAGGCGCTTCGGTCTCGAGCACGTCGAAACGTGCAAAAACCATGACGGAGGAAGTTCTTCTCAGGACATCCATCGGCAACACGGGGGAGGGAAGGTCAACAGAGGGGCGTCCTCACTCGGGAGGAACAATCATCGATCTCGTGTGTGACGTTACAGTGGTGAACAAAGTATGTCAGTTACTGCACCCAAGTTGTCTTTATTTGACAACTTTAATCACTCAATCCTAAAACATGTTTTTTTTTAGTCTCTACTTATTGTTACTTATTTAATTTAACAACATGTATTCCTGTCTGCGTGCATCTCCAGTTATTTGATGGTGTACATAAACATTTGATTAAATAAAACGTATAAAAATGACAGGTTTACACCTCAGGTACTTAAAAGTACTCAAAAGTATTCTTTAGACAAGACTTTTACTTGCAGTCGAGTATTTCCACAGGATGCTATTTGCATTTTGCTAGTGTGTGTGTGTGTCCCCCCCCCGGAGTCATCCACGAGCACAGAGAGGATGCTGCGCCCTCCACTGGCGGGCCCCCTGAATGCGAACCTCTGCTGAGCGGGTCATGTCCCCCACTTGGTCCACGAGTTAGTTCAACGCACTGTCCGCTCGTGCACAAACCAAAACGCACGCAAACACACAACGTAAGAAGCAGTTTGGAGACATTTACACTTTGCGCGGTCTTACCGTGTCTCCTTGGAAGAGGCCTCCCTGCAGTCCTTCAAAGCGTCCTTTCCACGGTCACCGGGGACATTTCACAATGTCCACGCGGGAGTGGACCACGACACCGTCCGCGGGGCTGGAGGGGGCTTTTTTGTTGTTGTCTCTGCTTAGCGCGAATCGGTGAGGCAGAAGTCGTCTGAGCCGCGCGGCCAGCCGGCAGACACCTGCGAGTCAACACACTTGATTAGTCTGACGGTCTGTGCTAATTAGAATGCGGCCCGCGCGCGCCCCCTGGCGGCCGCTGGTGACGCGTCGGTCCGCGTGCTGGGGAGATTATACCGAGATTATGTCGATCTGGTGAGGAGGGGGTGGGGGAGTACAAAAATATTACACACATACATATGAATATACATTTGTGTATTTATTTTGATTCATTTGTTATTTATTTGTGTTTTACCCACGTGGTCCATATGGACTTTCTGAGAGCTATTGGTCATGTGACTGGTCCCGCCTTCCCATACTAGCAGAGAGATCCTCTCCTGAAGCTCGTTCTATGAATGCATTAAACCCCCAATCCCGATACCTGTTCTGGCGATATTATCCCCACTTGGGCAATGATGCATCTACTGACCTGAGTTGATCATTTAATTAAAGCAGCTGCCAGGAAGCACCAAGCAACTATTCCTGAAGGCCACCACCAAGCTGCACAGATGTACAGGCGAATGCTGCAGTCAGATTCATTCCCTGTGATTCCAAACTCAAACAAACAAACAAACAACCGCAAATTAAAAACTACTCAAGTATCCTGCTGGAGGTATTTTACACAGCTCTTCCTCGGATACACGGATCATTATGTAACAGCTATTGAATATTACATCACCTGTTTTACTGAGCTGTAAATGTTTTTTACACTCATAATGATCATCGATGATGGAACAGTGGGTCACTCGGAGGCATGGTGATGCAGAGAAAACAAGGTCAGGCAATGTGCTCTGGTTGTGGACTACACTGCACTAACGCTGCACCTTCAGGACGGTATCAGCTTGTCCTCTTTTACGTCACCCAACTCACAAATATGTCTGTTTTTATGTGTTGACACTGTAAAACTGCACTCAAAAACATTTCTGATTGTCATCGTCTGTATTTGGATGCTGGAGCTGTCAAACTGGAGCTAATGTATTTAGTGAGCTTGGCTTAATTCACTTTTGGCTTAATTCATCGGTGGCGGGATGAATGCGGGGGGCAATGTAGTTGGCCAAAGTCCAACCATTTTCATATTTTCTGGCTTTGTCTTTTATCTTTTCATATTGGATCAACATTGCTAAGGAAATGATGAAGCTTTTCAAAATATCAACTGATTTCTCCATTATATTATACCTGGAAAAATGTCCGATGGCTCAAGAGGAAGATCTCTTCAAAATACTACAAGAAAGTCTTACACAGAAATGTATGAATCCAAGATTATGCCAATGCAATTGTAAAGGAAATAATATATGTGTGTGTGTGTGTGTCACACTGAAAGATTATTTTCTTTTTAAATTGTTGCCACAAAACATTATAAACAACACAAAAGAGACTTTTGCTAGATAGCCTTCAGATGGATGTAGTGGAGTAAAAAGCACAAACGTCCCTCTGAAATGAAATTGAGGTGAAGCACTGAAGTCCTTCACTTACGCTGTGTGAAAGTAGGACAACGTAAAACATCCATTATTCAAAATATGACTAAAGTAAATAGAATATCAAGCGAAATGTACTTAAAGTCTCCGAGAAGATATAAGGGCCCTTTAGTCTGTGTTGTTACAAATAACAATAATATAACATATATATATATATATGTGTGTGCAGTGGAGGTCTCTGAGAAAACATCAGAATTCATCAACAGCATTTTGATTTAATCTGCAGATAATAATAAAAAATAAGTAAACTTTTATTGCGCACAATTGGTATCCAGAGGGAAGCAAAGTCGGTAATGAAGAGCTCGTAGGATTCCTCAGAGCTCTTTGTGTGGCGTGTGAGATCACCGGCATACAGGAAGCGAGCGGTGAGGTGAGCCTTACTCATCACTAGGCGTGCCGCTGACTGCACAGCATCAATGTGATTAGAGCGAGGGAGGGGGGTAAGCAGGGGAGGGGGGTTAGTGTGAGAGAGATGACCTAATGCCCTGTAAAAAGCTATGAAGTCATACGACCTGACTCATATTCCCATCCGACACCAGCTCTCCCAATCACAACATCACCGTGCGCTTGTGTGTTTGTTGTTAGAGGGTGCGTGTTTGCGTGTTGTGCGCGTGTTTGCGTGTTGTGCGCGTGTCTCACACTGATGTGCACAGGGTTGAGGATGGAAAATAAGTAGAGACACGATTGTTGAACAAAGGATTTGCTGCCTCAATGGATTATTAGCGATCACAAAATTGAACAAGGAGCGTTTGGAACACGTCACCGCGCGGAGAATCTTTATCGACACTTTGCCATCGTTTATACACTAAATGAGTAATTGACTTATAAATAAATTGAATAATAAAAAATAAAGAAGTCAATAAAAAAAATGATATAGCGTAATCATTGTATCCTTAAGTAAATTATAATTATAAGTGTGAATACTGCATCACTTTTAGTTGCATTTGGTTTTAAAGGCGGAGCTTTGTGGGATTTCAGGGAGAAAAAGGCCTCGTTATCTTTGTCCCTGCACAACACGTCAGGTGTGAGGAGGATTTTGGACTCTAATTAAACTGCAGCACCTCTCCCATCCCCTTTGTTCTACATTATTCTATCTAACCGTTGCCTGTGTTTCATTTTATTGGATCATCATTAACGGAATGAGCCAACAAATAAAAGTAAGAAAAGTATAAATAACGCCACGAAAAAAACATGACGTGGCCTCTGGAATTGGAGTTTCGTCTGGTCAGCTGATCGTCGGTCCGTGAGCACAAGATGTGGTTTCGTTTGCATGAGGTCTTACGTCATCCCTGAGAGCCGGCGCGCTGTGGCATCAGCACGTGGTGCTCAGCCAACACGTCCCTTTGTGCTCGCAGACGCTTCATTCAAGTGACAGCGGGGCACCAGAAAGGTCTTGAAAAGGACATCTGGCCGTGAAAGTCAAAGCGACGTCCTTTAGGGATTCTTAGACGTGTCTCTGCAGCCCATTAAGCCCGGACTCTTTGGGACACACACACACACACACACACACTGTCCACAGGTGAAAGCCGCGTTTGCAATACGCTCTTGGACAAAGAGGTTGTTCGGCTGTGTGTGTGCGTGCGTGTCTGCGGCACAGCTCCCCAAAGATGCTAGTCGGTCTTTCATCAAGGGGGCGTTCGGGGGGGGGGGCAGCACCACTGTGACGACCAGATGGTCAAGATCATTGAGGGCTTTTTTTCTCTCTTTTTTTTTTTACATGTGCAAGTAACATGACCTCAGCACAGGGTTTCACAAGTACCCTGCAAACAGCTCACACACACACACACACACACAAATGACAATTGTAGCCGCCAGCTAAAGAAACTGACGTCTAAATGAAAACCAGACCTGCTGTGGTCCATTCAGGAGCCCGGAGACGGTCTAGTTCAGGGTCACAGAGGTTATGTGGTGCAAACAGCAGCAGCAATCAGGCCTCCAACAGGCCCCACCAAGACTCACACATGCAGGCAGAGAGGGTTGTGTCGGGAGGAGGAGGAGGGGGGGGGGCTCCTTATTGATTGGGGCTCTGGCCTCCCAGCAGACCCTTTTTAATGGAAATCCAGACGACCTCTTGCTTGGACCCACCGGCCTCATCGGTGCACCCCCTCCCACCCCACGAAAGGCTCTCCTGGGCTGCTCGTTGGCCATCATCCAACCTCTCCACTGGGTGGGGTCGGGACCAGTCCTCCCGAGCTCCCCCACCCCCGCCCCCCTCTCTGGTCCTTCATGCATCACCCAACCCTGTTCTCCTCCTGCTGCTGCTGTTTTATTTTTTTTAAGTGGGGATGTTTTTTTATTCCTGGTCTCTTACCAGGAGTCTCCCCGTCACTTCTCATGTGCATCGGACCCGTAGGGAAAGAACCCCCGTCCCGATCGGCACCCAGAGGCGCGTCTAGACTGGTGTTACGCATGTGAACACATCCGCTCTGCCTTCCTGGGTCCTTTTCGATGCAACATTAATGTAGATTCCACTCTGGGAACTGGTGTTTTTAATTATATCATTGCACGATTCAATGTGTTATTAAAAGGCAGACGGCGTTGTCACTAGAAATGCTAAAATATTCATCCCCCCGAAAGAGTTGCATGCCCATATGAGGGATAAAATGAAACCCTGTGTGTGTTTTTCTTATATTTCAATGGGTTACAGTGTGAGAAATAAACAGCACACTTGGTGGGAATAATTAATTGAATGTAATGGATGGGGTTAAAATGCACAAGTTATCTTCCCTTTGGGAAAACAGCGCAAACACAACACGAAGAATTCCTCCAACAGCCATCTAGATATCTGTAAACATCGAGTGTCCACATGTCCGCAGAGATATATGTATGTTCTGGCAGGGGTGGAGGAATAGAAGAAGAAAAAAACTACAACAAAACAAATGGTGGATCGGTGGAGCACTTCATGTTTTCTCAAAAATCCCCAGAGCTCTCCTTGTGGTGCAGGTGTGGCCTTACGCAACAGATAGTCCCGTACATTCCACCGCATATGCACAGATGGTAACGACAGGATCAGCTTCTGACTGACACTTTATGAGGAAGCTGAAAACATGGAGCAGTGGATCTACAGCCATGCCGGGTCCATTGTTCCCTTAGAGCTTCATTATGTATGGTGCTGACTAAAGGCTGGGCTATTATTAATTTTAAATTCGGTATGAAAATATATTATTCTATAAGAGTGTCCTCCCCACTTCATTTTCTGCTGATATTTCATAGTAAGAAGGTGTAGCTTAAATGTCCCCATTAAAAACGGCAATAAATAGAAGTTGCGGGTATTTTTCTCCCTTTTTGAAACAACCCACAAAAATAAAACAATTTTCAAAAATGGTAAAAAAAAAAAAACGGTTTGATTGAATGTAAGAACTTTTTTGAAATTTTTCTTCCCCCCCAATATTGTTTTTTTCATGATCCCCAATGCTGCAATTTGGGTCTTTGGGCACCACTGGGGAGCATGCCCGTCAGGCGGTGTTTCTGTCGAGGACATCTGGGGGAGTCGATCCGCGAAACGAACGGCGCGTTTCTTTTTTCCGCGGAGGGGCGGCGGTTGGCTTTTTTTTTTTTTTTTTTTTCTTAACGGGGAAATGGCCAGGGGTTTTTTTGATGCCCCCCCCCCCCCCGCTGCATAGGGTCTGCAACGCCTGTCTGACGACTCCCTTTCTCTCTTCTGCTCCTCGTTTGCAGCCCCCACCGCCCCAGACACCCTCTTTCCCTCCTATACATAACATCCTCATGCGCAACGGCGCCGGAGACAAAAAACGCGGTGACCTGCCGCAAAGCACGGCTACATGGAGGTGGGCGGACCCCCCCCCCCATGCAAAATACATGTCACTAACTCCTCTCCCGCACTAAAACATGTCCGATGCTGCACAATCCCCCCCGCCAACCCACGTAGAAAGGCACGAGCCGCGTGTGATAAAGTTGACATCATCATCCTTCCACCACCGGAGGACCATGTGCGCACTCCTACTTGCACCTTTTCGGTTTAACGCAACTGTTTACATCCGGCGGCCCTTACATAAGTCTCCCAAAAAATGCGGGTTTTTTAGGTTTGTTGTCTATTTTTTTTTGGGGGGGGGGGGGTCTCACGTCGCCCGTGAACGAGTCTGCGGTAACAGTGCGGCGGGAGGCGGGAGAGGGGGGGGGGGCATTTCTTCCTCTCTACCGGGCAGCTCGGGTATTTTCTCTCTCTCTCTCTCTTTTTTTTTTTTCAGATGCCACGGGCTCGGGAACCCGAGACGGAATGGTGCGACGGGGGAGGGCGGCTCGTTTTGTCTCGGCGAGGAGTGGGAGCCGTGTAAAACCAGACTGGGTGGAGCAACGCAACGCACCGCCCCCACCCACCCCCCTCCTCCATCCCCACCCCCCTCCATCCATCGCGCAGACGGCCTTGTGTCCCGTTCGCCCGGAGCGCTCGAGGAGACTACTGTACTGAAAAAGTCTGGCGGATAGAGAGAGAGAGGGGGCCGGTCGATGGGAGGGACTAGCGCAGAGGGGGGAATCGGAAGGAGGAGGGGGCGAGGAGGAGGAGGAGGAGGCGGCACGGGTGCTGTTTCTCCAGTCTCTTTCCCCTGTCTTTGTCTCACACACTCTTTTGTTAGCCATGCCTAGCCTGCTGGTTCTAGCAGGGATCATGGAGAAAAACGGGGGCTACGCCGGGGATCTGGCCGGCTCCGGTTTCGGAGGCGAAGGTCTCCTGGTTCCGCCCGACGAGGAGGAAGACGACTCCCGTGCCCTCAGGGTCGCGCTGGGCCAGTTGTCTCTGCTCGGGCTCGGGGAAGGCGAGGACGGCGGCGGAGCCCCGACAACAGGAGTGCAGGACCGGAGCAACAATAACAACAACCACCACAACCACACGAACAACGTCGGGGGCGGCGGCGGCGGGGACGCGGCGATCCTGCAAGGGAAGAGCAAGTTGTGCGCCCTGTACGAGGGCTCCTCGAGCGAGACCAAAGGACGCGGCTGCAACATAACAGAATGCGTCCCGGTGCCCAGCTCGGAACATGTGGCCGAAATAGTGGGGAGACAAGGTAAACCGCTGGCTTGCATATTATCACTCCTCCGCCCCCCCCCTCCCCGCCCGCCCGCCGACCCCCTCAAACTTGTGCTTTTATCCCGCTAACAGTGCTGCATTGTCCCCGCCGCGGATCCCCGTGCGCTTTGTCTCTAACCGTTTGTCTCTCATAAGCGTGTTACCTGGTGTTATTTGACAAAGAAAAGGGACGCTGGTAGCTCGTGTGTGTGCTCGTGTTTTTTTTTTTTTTTAGTACTCCCCCGAGACATCAGCCTCCCACTTTTTTTTTTTCCTCCTCCAAGCTAGCAAGTTCTCGTGGTCTCATCATTTCACTCAGTCACATGGCGACGAGTCGCTTTGTGTTTATTTCTTTCTTTCTGTGTGAGTGATTTTTTTCATCCTCGTCTCCTGGGCGAATTATTCTACATCCACGCCATCAATGTCAGCGCACACATGCCCACACGCACGCACGCGCGCGCGCGCGCTCCGCGTGGAGAGCACTTGCTTCCTTTGTCGTCTGAGACGCGCCAGACTGTTAAAAAAAAAAAGGCAACGTGCGGCCGGAGAAAGAAGCGGAGAATGTTTTCACTTTGAATCCACCAGATAGAGACATTCAAAGTGTCAACGGCGGGGAGAGGGGACGGTTTTTTTTGTGTGTGTGTGTCTCTGCCCGTATTTGCCTCGTTGTTTATGTTGCGCACTGCCCCAGTGACACAATTGGACAATGGAAGCGTGGTCCGCTTGTGTGTGTGTGTGTGTGTTTGTTATCAAATGAACAGATCTCGGAAGTTCAATTCCACACACGTTGCATATTCTACACCCTATTCTTACAGTTGGATGTTGTTGTTGTTTTTTCATTATAATTATTACCGAACAAAGAGCTCAAGTTGAATGACAGCAGCTGTCAAACAAAGGTGTGAAAGTCGGATGAGGGGGGGGGGCGCATTGAGGCGGTGTGGATGCTCGGGACACGGGATGGCCTTAAAGGGGTGACTCAGCGAGAAGTTGCACCAAGAAGTGCGAGTCCCTTTTTAAAACAAACCGTCTCCCCCCAAAAATAACAGAAAAAAACAACAGAATTCCTTTTTTCACTCCATCCGAGTTCCACATTTGTGTGTTGAGCCGGAGCATCAACCCCCCCCCCCCCCCCCCCCCCCCCCCCCGGTTAATAACTGTCGTGATGGACCCTCGGAGTGAAGGGCTGCAGGGGAGACCCCCCCCTCCCCCCAAAAAAACCAGACGAGGGACGCGGAGGCAGTATAGCATCTACAAGCTGAATGGGAGTCACGCCTTGGAGCTGAACACAAGGGGCTCCTCATGAGCCCCACTTCACTGCACACTCTCAATACCACATGGTGCCCTGTCAGGAGACGGGGAATCGGGGGAGAAGCACAAAGGCTGCAGGGTGGGTGAGGCACCTTCGGCACATTCAGATTTACCTCGCAAAGAAAATTAAACAGGTCTGCAATAACGTCACGCGGGGTTCAGATGGCGTCTTTTTTTTCCTCTTTTTTCGCCGGCACCTGCTCTTTCTTCTGCGTCTGCTGTGATAATGTGGATCTACTTTGTGCGGCTAAGTGCCCCCTTGTCTCCCATCGCGGCTCCCGTTCTCTACTCTGAAGTGTAAGTTTTGAATTTTAATGGGGTAACCAAAGACAGCCGGGGGGTGGATCTGGTGAGCAAGCCGGTGCAGATAGAGGGGCCCTTTTTTTGCCTTGACTTGATTTTTTTTTAGGGGGTTGGGAAGGGAGGGGGGATGGGATGGGAGGGGAGGGGGCAGCGGTGGGAGAGGGTTTAGACGAGCTGCATTTGATTTGGTTGTTGGCGCCACGCACACACCCCCTTCTCCTCGGCACAGCTCATCGCAGCCCGCCCGGTTGCGTTCTGGCAGGCAGAGCTTCCTGCCACGGAGGAAGGGTTGGATGTGATTACCCCCCCTCCCCCAAAGATGCCGTTGTACCCCTGAGTTCGAGGGGGGGCTTTGTTTTCAATCACTCTCGCCCTACAGTTCAGTAGCCTGCGAAATACATTTGTCCCCGGTGACCTTAATATCAAGCTGCGGTTAATTAATCTTCCCCTATTTGTTTTCAGACAATTCCTTAATTGAGGCGTTGGTTTGGACTAATTAAAACGGTGCCGCGTAGTTTGAGGAAAGGAACTCCGCGATGCCCCGTTTGACCCCACGTGGCAATAACAAGTCTATTAGCCGAATGCAAGGCAGTGGCCACAAAGGGGATTTTTAGATCTTTGGGATATGAGCGGTACTGAACCCTCGGCGCATCCGTATCCTTCCGTCCGTGCCTCTGGTCCCCGAGGAGTCAGTGTTCCTGCGCAAAGTGGGTCTATTTACTGCCATTAGAGCGACATTCGTCTCTTTAACTTGGGGGGGGGGGGTGTCTTGGAACGTTTTTGAGGCCTGCTGCTGTGGGTTTTTTTTTTCAGAGGAGTAATGCGATGACGTGCCGTGTGATCCGGGGCACCTGGAGTCTGGCAAGACGAGCTCAGCTTTGTCCAGGGAGTGGACGGCCGTCCTCGATTGTCCACCAGAGAGACAGGGCCCAATTAAGCCGGCAATAAATAAAAATAAGTGTGAATGTGAATAAAAACTGCCCCGAGTGATGCCCGATGCATTCTTCACGGAGTGTAATATAAACAGGAGTCTTACCGCGTTCGCTCGTGACCTCAAACGTACCCGACAATCCGCCAAAAGAATTCCAGATTTACCGTACGCACGGTTCGGTCCCATTACGGCGTCAGGTAATTTGTCGTGAAATAACTGCACTATTTCACATTCAGCCTCGGCCCTAAAAGCACTTAACGGAGCAAACTATGGCCCTCTGATCAGAAACATGGCAGATGTACAGCAGGAAATGTCCCAGGAACAACGCGCATGTGGGCTGACTGTATTGTCTCGTCAGTTCAAGGGGAGGTCAAGCGGTGCATCTGCTGCGATGCGTACAGCTCAACAGTCTGATGCTGGTTAAAACGTCTGCAACTCCCATGTACCGCTTTGTGAGAAGTGTGTCTGATTTAGAACCAGCAAATAAGTGCTCTGGATGCTTGAGTGCTGTAAACCTCATAAATCATGGCAGTAACTCGGCGTGTCCTTTTCCAGTAAAAACCTGCACGTTAAACTGGTCCTAAACGATGAGTAGATCAGAATTCTGAGGGTTTCTCTTTGCTCCGGTCGGCGGGAAAGTGTGTTCCCACCGTTCCACTCGATTCGTGATGTGATGTATCACGTTAAACTGTTTTGTTGTCTCCGCAGGTTGCAAGATCAAAGCCCTGCGGGCCAAGACCAACACGTACATCAAAACCCCCGTGAGAGGAGAGGAGCCCGTGTTCTTGATCACCGGCCGGAAGGAGGACGTTGCGCTGGCTCGCCGTGAAATCATCTCCGCCGCGGAGCACTTCTCCATGCTCCGGGCGTCCCGCAACAAGCTGGGCGTGTCCTTTAGCGGATCCCCGCCCACGCCGTTGCCGGGTCAGACCACCATTCAGGTGAGAGTGCCATACCGCGTCGTGGGGCTGGTGGTGGGGCCCAAGGGCTCCACCATCAAACGCATCCAGCAGCAGACCTGCACCTACATCGTCACCCCGAGTCGAGACCGCGACCCCGTCTTCGAGATCACGGGGTCGCCGAGCAACGCCGAGAGGGCCCGCGAGGAGATCGAGGCGCACATCGCCTTCCGAACGGGGGGCCTTCACGACCACAACAACGAGAACGACTGCATGGGGCCCAACGGCGGAAGCAGCCCGCCGGGCAGCGGCGGCGGCGGCGGCGGGGGGCTGGAGAGCCGGCTACAGCAGGTGTGGGGGCTGCAGGGGGGCCAGCGCAAGCCCCTCACCAGCAGCTACCGCCAGAACTTCTCAGATGCCATGGTGGGAGGAGGAGGGGGAGGCGAGGGAGGGGGAATCTACAGCAAGAGCAACTTCTCCAGCTCCGGGGAGAAGCCGTGTTCCTATTTCGGATCGGAGGGCACCCAGAGCTGGGGCGACCCCGACTACCCCAAACAAGTGGCCTTCTACGCCCAGCAGCGGTCCAAGAGCTTCGGAGGCCTCCCGCTCCCCCTGACCAGACTCTCCCCGGGCTTACCCGAGTCCTGCGGAGGCTTAAGCAACAACAACAACAACTCGACCGTCACCAGCATCGTGTCCGTGTCCGGCTCACCTCACGCCCAGGCCCGCCGCGCCCACAGCGAGCCCACCTCGGCCGGCGAGGTCTTCCCGGGCCGCCTGCCGGTGCCGGGCTCGCCGCCGATCACCGTGCGGGACTGCATGACCTGCTTCGAGAGCAAAGTGACGGCTGCCTTGGTGCCCTGTGGCCACAACCTCTTCTGCATGGAGTGCGCCATCCGAATCTGTGAGCTCAACCACCCGGAGTGCCCAGTGTGCCACACCCAGGTCACACAGGCCATCCGAATATTCTCTTAAGGAACCACATCCGTTTTTAACCATTTTTAGTTTTGTCAGTGTTTGTTCAATAATTATTTACTGTTATTATGATTATTATTATAATATACTTTTTTTTTTCCTTTTCTTTTTTCCAGAAAATTTACAAACAACCAAGCAGATATTTTAGACGGCACTGCTTGCTTTACTAAAAAGTATAAGAAATATTTTTAAGTTTTTCTTTTATATATATATGCATATATATTTTATAAAAGTTTTGTTTATAAGAGAAGTATAGTACCTTGCGTTTTCAGTTTTTGGACTGCTGCTGTTTTTCATTCATGGATCACAGAGTAGGAAGAGGTAGACAGTAATGTGAACATTTTATTATTCAAATTTTTTATTTTACCATGAAGTGGGTTTATATGGAAGGAAGAAGATGATTGTCGAGATAACCAATCTGCACCTGACCGACCCAGAGAGTCAATGTTGTTATTAGAAAGAGAGAGAAAAACAAACGTAGACTTGTCATTGCACCTTACAATCATCTTGGTCTAAAATAGGATTTTCAATCATACGTTAATATTTCGGGAGCTGACGTGAAGGCGAATTCCGCCCTTTCAGTTTTACTGTGATTGTTGCTTGATTTAATTGGTCCAACATAGATATCCATTTTAGCTAAATGAAAATGTGAATAAACTGGTCCGAGTCAAAGCCATGTAATACAAAACTACAACAATACAAAAGACCCCCCCCCATATTTCATTCTTATACCTTAAAGTCTTACAAACAGGATTGATGCTCAAAAGGAGTAGGACATTATTAACAGTAATCAGGTACATTTTATTCCTGTCATCATTCACACGGACGGAGGAAAGTCCTTCCTGTAGCCATTGATTACACCTCGGCCAGTGCAGCCTCGCTGAAAGGATTCGGTGACACTCGCTCGTCGCGGCACTTGAAAAGCGTGCGGTTCCCCCGGTTGGCCTAAAGCACCGATTTAATTTGTGAGGCCGAAAAGCCTTGGAGTCGGCCCAGTTGGCTTCTTCCTCGATATCCGTCTCCCCCGATGGACTCGTTTCAAAACCACCTAAACCGCGCTTTTGTTGTCCCGTGTGGTCATTTGCCCGCTGTCGCCCGAAACAATGAGGGGCCCGTTCAGAGCGTCTCGCCGTGGGCGTGCGCCGTAGACGAAGCGGACAGAAGCCGGGTACGACTGCACAGTGTCCCCCCCCCCCACCAGAATCATCAGCAGGCTATCGATATTTGAAATAGTCTACACTGTAGAATACAGAGTCCCAAATTAGTAATCCTTTCTCCACGTCCCCCACAACGGCATTATGCGTGAGCTGCAAGGGAGGGAGGGGGGGGGGGGCAGCTGCCTCCCCCTGTGATTAGCAAAGCCGTACAGGAGCAGGTGTTTTGTGGCGCACTGTAGCCGTGACCCCGAGTCCGAGGTCTCGCTCAGCCCCCTTTTCATTCTCTTTTCTTTGGGGAGTCGCCCTGCTTACAGTTTGATCGCTTGCTTTCTTTTTGTTTTTTTTCCCCTTTTCTTTTCTGAAGGCCTCTCTCCGAGCGGGGGCGTATTGTCCGGGCCCCCGGTGGCGGGGCGTGGGCCGCAAAGCGCCCGGACACGGCCCGGATCCGCTCATTGACAATTAGGCAAATGGGTCGGTCCAGGTGCGGACCGTGGGGGGG